GTTCGTCCGGGAAGCCCGCGAAAGTGGTCGTCGAGTTGGCTCATCTACCAAAAAAGGATCGGACCAGTTCCAGCGCCACAATTGGATCACATACCTTCGTATATCGTTGACTCGGATGGGTTCTGCAGAGGAACATGGTTGAATGATTTGCCGTGCTGACTTTTGCTATTCTTTCTAGCCAACGCTAACTGCATTGCTAGATCTCGTTCAGTAGCATCCATATCCCGCACATGGTCCAAAATTGTGCCGTCATCATCCTCGACGTCGCTGTACTCTAGCTCTCGATCTCCCGAAGTTGAGCGAGATCCACTTCTAGAGCCGTTTCTAGACAAGCTGCGACTGGGTGGTCTGCTCTCCGGTTCTGGAGTACCACCAGGCGATCTGCTCTTTCTGAGAACGCTTCTTGACCGCGACCTCGACGACGATCTCGTACGAAGCGAATCGTCGTCTATTGTCGTCGCAGTTGAGTTTGACCGGTGAGAGAACTTGGTCAGGCTTCCGTCCCCGGTCGTGGTGGTTTGAGTATACGTGGATGCGCGACTCGTCGTGGATTTGGTCCGCCTATGGCTGTTGATGGACCCCCCGAAAAAGTCGCCCATGGAGGACCCCGGACGTGTATTGAACAGATTCCGGGAGATTGCATCTAAACCGAAGATCGCTGCCTTTGAGCGGGCAGTTGGAGTCGACGGGGTAGAATTCCTTCCGGTCCTGAACTCGAACAAACCGAACTGGTGAACTGAACTATGGGGTAAGCAGAACTCAAGGGAGAACCAAAGCCACTTACTTGTTAGCACTATCCGAGATGGCACCCTGGTGGTCTGCACGATATCCTCTTCGCCTGGGTCGGACGGGTCACTTGAGGAGACTTTATAACGGCAGACACCGCCTGCCAGAGGCTGCAATCGAATGACGCCGAACGGTGGTGCTCCTACACCAAAAGGGATTTTATCGGCGGATCCCAGAGCATCGATATGTACGACGATCTTTGTCTGCCGAAAACGTTATTATGAGACTCCTAGTGATTGCAAATGATTTGCTACCTTTTTCGGTTCTTGGAGAAAGGCCGTTCGCTGATAAACGTTGTAGTACGTGCGGGCGATGGTGACTCGACCACCCTTGGACTCCACCTCCATCTCCTCTGCACGAAGAACAACCGACTGGCCTGCCCGCGCGCGGTATGCGGCCTGAACCTTCCAAAGATTCTCCAGGAACCTCTGCTTATCCAGCTCAGTTTGGACAGGATTCAAGTTGATGGGTGCAGGAGGCTGGACCACGGCCAAGGATCGGAAAGCGCGGCCGGCCCACCGCTCATTCTGATCTGCGGGTGGATTCTCCAGGTACAAATTGATGTCTTGCGTGTCGAATTTAGCCCCAAATTTACAACAAGAGGACGGAGCGTACCTGCGCCACCAACATCAGTAGCCACGACTTCAGTAACATCGACGACTCCTTTGCACGTCATTCCGCTCTTTTTCTTGCCACTCGGTCGCCCACCCTGTTTGTTCAATTTATCGAGCTCGTCCAGACCTGCAAGCGCGCGGCCACCCTTCTCGCCATTCCCAGGGCGTTTGACAATGAGAAGTTTGTCGTCGAAAAGAAAGAGCGTGCAGTGCAGTGAACCTGCAGACGAGCTGTTAACCGACGCAGCCGATGAAGTGGGTGCGTCCGAGAGTATGTCCTCGACGTCAATGCAATCAATGAAGCGCCGGGAGTTTGAAAACAAGTCGGGCGGGAAGCCATCGATAGTTGCACTCAGGCAATAGAATATGGCAGCTCGTTTAGTTTCCTCGTCCGGTTCTGCCAACGCGATCTTGCTCGCAAGCTCGTCGGCCTCTATCAGTTTGGCACGTTGCGGGTCATCCGGTGCCATATGCTTGATCATGGTCCGAAATATGAGGGTGTATTGAGGTATTCGCTGTACCGGATTTATGAGAAGTTCGCGAAGCCCGACGCGATTTCTCGATTCCGAAGCTTGGTATTTGATCCGCTAAGAAAGCAAGTATGAGAGCTTGGACGAGAGGAACAGAGCTTAGTGACGCACGTCAATATAGGCGGCGAATGGTGACGACTTTCTCGACATCTCCCGCTCAAAGATCAATTGGGCATCCTCGCGCTTGACGTAGTATTGCTTATACTGCTCAAAGCCACGCAGCTCCTTGAAGTGGCGAAGGGCAACATCCCCTACACCGCCCACCACCTTTGCACCATTGGGAGCCATCATCTTCTCCAAATCCGTCAAGAACGCTTCATTGACCGGAAGGAGGTTGTCCACGTTCCCAAAGAGCGTTTTGGCCTCATACGCGGGGATGATAGCGGTGTTCTTGCTTCTCGCAAAGTTGCGCAGAGGGTCTGCGTAGTCGTTCTTCAACGACCTCAGGCGCTTCACGTACGTCCGCTCTGTATCCACCAACTCGTTGATAGTGGAGGTGAGCGCTGAGGTATTGGTAAGAGCGCGTTTCCTCTGGCCGACGCGGTCCTACGGATTACAGTCAGCTCGGAATATGACAGGGGTACATCGGGGACAGCAGGCGATTAGAATTCGCGGGGTTAGCGCGTGTACGGTTGTACCGAGCTGGGATATGGAAACACTGCAGACTTTGGGGACAGCCCCATAGGAGTCGCAATTCAAAAATACTTACGGGATCATCTGTGCCAGAATCCCGTGGAGACAAGGGGTCTGAGGCGGTGGATACAGTGTCACCCAGGGATAGAACGAGGTCCTGGATGTCTGATGCAAAGTCAGTGGCTTGGAGAATTGAATTTTTCCGGATACGTGCCTTCAGGAAGTCTTCTCCCACTCTCTGAGCCTTCTACCACAACTCCGCAGAAGAAAACGCGCTTCGTGAGCCCCGGAGCTGACGACTCGTATTGTGACCGAGTCTCTTCACCGGTGGAAAGAGGAATGATTTTGCGCGGGGAGGTGCTGAGAGCCATGGGAGCCGCAGGGGCGAGGAGTTAGTAGGATATAACAAGAGTATGAGCGTCTTCGCCGTGGAATGGAAGTGGCGGCGACCGGTTCCTCAAAGTCAACAAGGCGCGATCACGTGCTCTTTGTTCGGACCGGGGTTACGGCAGCCTGTCCCTCCTTCGCTTCAACGTTGTCGGACTATTTCGGATCGCATATGTGTGACCAGGTCCGAGTCTCTACCTTTCTATTGACCAAGTACCTCAGCGAGCCGTTCGTGCAATGTAAAAACACCGCCCAACGGGCAACCCGGCCATCCACGGAGTTAGCCTTGGCGCCGCTACGCACCTTAGTATGTATACTCGATCTATGTAACTAGTATACTCACTTGATGCTCACACACCTGAGTGTCACCGTACTGGTCTACTTTTGCTCTCTATCCTTCAGAGTATGTGAAGGGGGAGTCCAGGACGATTTAGTTATTGGCAACGGTGCACAACGGTGCACAACATCCGTGAGGTTTCGCGCTCTGCCGCTCTTTCAGCAATCGACTACGGTTCCCATCAAACGAATATAGCAATGCCGGTTGAGATCAAAACCCAACTGAACTGTCTTGCTGCCCAATCGCTTGTTACTTACATAGAACGGATTTGTGTGAGAATCGCTCGCCGTGTTCACTGTTCGGGGACTTCGGGCAATCAAACGCAGTTCAACAGCAAGCTGGACAGCATCGCACAGCGTGCATCCATTGTCAGCGAGTGCATCCCATTTCGACTTGAACCACTATCAGTACATGCATCCTACTACTACCACATCTTCACCGACCGCCTGCGCGGACCCCAAAAGCCTTCGAACAGTGAGCTGGTCGCAGCTGGAGCCCTGGCAGCAAGACAACCCTGGCATCACAACTGGTTATCGACGACTCACCTACTCATGGAAGGGATGCTATGAAAGCCTCTACTGGTGGCACAACGAGACAGGTTGGTGGAAATCGGTGTGCCATCATGTGGGCTGAAATTTCCTGACAGTCAATGTTTGGTCCCATCTCCTGGGCGCTCTTGCAATTCTTGGAATATACGCGGTGTTTTCTTCGATCCCCCAGCATAGCTTCCACCTTTTCGAATTAGATTCATCCAACGGCAAAACCAGCGACGCGATTTTGCTTCGAGTCTTTCTCCTCGGCGCCTTTGTTTGTTTTACCTGCTCGGTGGTGTTTCACTCGTCTCTTTGCCACTCCGAGAAGGTAAGTAGGCCGAATTCTTCAAAGTGGATTTTAATCGTCCTTCTGTAGGTAGCCAAAGTCTTGAATCGCGTGGATTATTTCGGTACGATTTTCCGCCGCTTTGTTGCATGCACATTGATTTTGTACAGGCATTTTCGTCCTCGGAACCGTAAACTACTTTCCAACCTTTCACTACGCCTTCTTTTGTGCGCCTCAACTTAGGAACCTATACATCACCCTAATGTCAATCTCTGGGTCCGGTAAGTTGGCATCTTGCGATGTGGGCACGGACTGACGAAACTAGCGGGAATATACCTCTCGTGTTCGCCCACATACGGGACACCCGCATATCGAAGAATGCGGACGTATACATACTTTGCCTGCGGAATGGTCACGGTCATTCCCCTGGCGCACGCGGTATTCCGGAACGGGGTCAGTGTGTCTTCCGATAGTTTCTGCATGTACTGATGAGTTGCAGTGGGAGGAGACCAGTGCTTCCACCTCATTCACCTGGTTATCCTTGGAGGTTGTGTTCTATGTCGGTGGTGCCATCCTGTAGTACGTCTCTTTTCCGTGGCATCGGGCACCGCTTACATTCCACCAGCTCAGAACGTTGGCCGGAATGCATGTGGCCTGGCCGATTTGATTTACTCGTAGGTGCAGCTCTATTACATCCGATGAACACTCATCTCCTTCAGGGGTCGTCGCATCAGATATTCCATGTCTGCAGTCTGTTGGCAGTGCTCTCCCACTACATGGCCGTGTCCGAGGGATCTAGATACTGGCACACCGAGCGAGGCGGTGTTTGTATTTGAAACCTTGCACATTTTTTAAGCCGCCACCTATCTGCAGAAACAGGTTTTACCTCAAGCGGTCTAGGTAGTATAGTGGTTAGTATGCTCGCTTGTGGACTTGAGTTCTCTTGGGAGCGCAACCAATTCGCGATCGACACCGGTTCGATTCCGGTCCTGGACATTTTTGCCTTACCTACAGTGGTTTTTTGCCCTCGATTGTAGCCTTCAGGTTGGCGGCTGGCTGTAGACATTCTGGTAGCTGATGAACCTGTTCCCAACGCTTCCCGCGTCGCGAGAGCAGTATTCGCTCGATTGAACTTTCATACCGATATTTGGCCTCCACAGCGCAGCGCAGGTCTCGGTAGTATAGTGGTTCGTATGCTCGCTTGTGGTGTAAACCCAGCTCGCGATTGACGTCAGTTCGATTCTGGCCCGGGACATGAACATGTGCTCAAAGCTCTTTTGCAGCTCGAGCCTCAGTCTTTTGCGGTTCAAAATTTCGAATCATGTACTACTAGCCGAGTCACCGAACTTACACCGAACTTCCTTTTGACTCGTGGATGTCAGCTGCAGCGTCCGCCATAAAAGCTGCTGCTGCTTCTTTGACTGCCCGCCATTCTTTCAAGCGTGTTCGAATCGTCCGCCACTCGAATTCCAAGCCCATGACATCGACCAAGCCTGCAAAGTCAACGCCTGTGAACGTGGAGCTAACTTTTCTCGGGACGGCTTCTGCGCAGCCGTCCTCGACCCGAATTCACTCATCTCTGGCCCTCCGACGCGGAGCTGATGTCTGGCTGTTTGACTGTGGAGGCGCGCCCGATTTTTGCCGCGTAAAGTATGCCAAACTCATAGTCTTTTTCAGAGGGAACACAACAACGACTGCAGCAGAGTGTGGTGCGCATGGGGAAGATAGACAAAATTTTCATTACGCATACGCACGGTGTGTCTGTCCGATGCATTGTGCGTACAACCTCTCATTTCCATAGGTGACCACATCTTTGGTCTTATTCCTCTCCTGGCGGGTGTTCTCAACGGCGCTGGTGGTTTGGCAGATGTAGAGGATGACCCCAGGGAGCACATTGACGTGAACAATCCTGTGAGCATCCCCATACTATTCTCTGCGACGGGATTTTGACTCAAAAATGCAGGTCATGGAAATCTATGGACCTCTGGGGACGCGCGCATTCATCCGCTCTGGCCTAAAGTACACCCACACCCACTTTAGCAGTCCCTACGTGGTCCATGAACTGCGGATGCCCTTCGACCCGAAAAATGGCGACTACACGCATCTCCCTTGTCACTCGGCCGAATCGCCTTCTGGCCGGAATATCTTCCAAGTGGGCGGGGTATGGGAGAACATCTACGAAGACGACGCTGTCTCTGTCTCCGCTGCCCCGATCCAGCACTCTGTTGCCTGCGTTGGCTACGTGGTTAACGAAGCGCCTCTGCCGGGCAAAATAGACCCCAGCAAATACATTCCCGAGCTCAAGCGGACGAACACTCCGATATCAGTGATGAGTCGTCTGCAACAAGGCGAGAGTGTCGAGTTGAGCGATGGGACTGTCCTCCACGGACCTGCTCGACGGCGCGGACGGAAGATTGTTATTTTGGGCGATACACACAACCCTACGGCGATTATACCGTTGGCCCTTGACGCAGATTTGCTGATTCACGAGGCAACCAATGCGCACTTGCCCGGCATCGACGACTCGAAAACGAAAATCACCGACACCTTCCAGAGCGTCGAGGCTCGGACAAAATCGCGAGGTCACTCGACACCGCAAATGGCCGGCGCTTTTGCAAAACGCATTCGAGCAAAGCAGCTCATCCTGAACCACTTTTCCGCCAAATATGCGGGGAACGACGACGTCGACCCCGAGGCGAAGAAAATCATGGACGCAATCGGGGGACTGGCGGCCAAGGAGTATGGCAAGGAAGTATTGTGTGCTCGCGACCTGATGAGCGTCACCGTCGGTGTACCAGAATCATAATACATTCAGTCGTCGTCTGGAGGTTCTGACAATTCGCTACTCGCGGGGCTGCCTTCGGTTTCACTGGCCTCGCCCTCCTCGAGCTCCTCCTCCCTCTTCTTTTTGCCCCCCTTCAAGCTGTTTTTGGGCTCCTCCTCGACCTCACCCATCTCGATGTCGTCCCCCCCAGCTTCTCCAGCCGGCACGACGGATTCATGCGCAGTTTCCTCCTCTCCCTCCTCGACCTCCATCTTGTCCGGGACCGTGGCCTCGCCTTCGGCCGTTGTTGTCGAAGGCTCTGCGGAACCTTCAGGGCCCGGAGTGTCCCTCGGAGAGAGGTCCGTCGATGTCGCAGCCTCCCTGTCCTTCCCCAGAAACCTCAGCGACCCCAACTCCGAAACGATAGTGTCCAGGGCTGCCTTTTGCGCCTGTATAGTGCGGTTTTGTGCCTCGTGTTCGCCGCGGATAGCCGCCATATCGTTCTCTAGAGAGTTTATAGTCCTGTACAATATAATCAGAGTTTGAAATCCAGTTTCATGGAGAATGGACGCACTGCTCGAGCTCCTCCCGCGTGGGTAGCGTGTTGACCTTCTCCGCGACAAAGTCATACTCCATCTTCCGCCGCCGCAGCATCTGCTCGTGCTCCAGCCCCGTCTTGAGCTGCTCAATCTGTCCGCGCAGCGTCCCATGCTCGTCGTCTAAGTGCGCGCGGTGAGCCCAGGCATGCGCCGCGCAACGCAACTCATAAACGCACTGATTCGCCCCTTCTCCCGCTGGTACTCCTCCACCTGCCGCGCCTCCGCCTCGCACGTCATGACGCCCTTCCGCAGCACCAGCTGCAGCGTCGACAGCTCCACCAAGAACGCCTCCCGCGCATCGTCGATGGATGCAGCGGCGGGCGCGGGCGCTGCGCCGGGGGGCGGGACGTGCGGGACCACCGGCGTGTGCGAGAGCGTGGTGTAGTGGTGGAACTTTTTAATCACGCGGCGGAGCGACCGCTCCTCGTTGGTTATGCGCGCGAGGATGGTTTGGTCTGCGCGGATGCTAGTCAAATACGCGACTGGAACCGACGACGGCGAATTGACCTTCTTCGTCTGTGGTCAGTGGTTGGACCATGATGGTCTGCTGCTGCTGTGCAGGCGCGTCTGACGCCGGTGGTGGAGGCATGGATGTCGAGGAGGGTGTAGGTTGAGGAGTGGACTTGAAGAGAGCAGGCTTCAGACGGTCCTGTGTTTGTGTCAAGAAGCTCATACGCGAGCGCTTATTTCAGAAAGTTGAGAATGAGATGTATTTTACAAATGCATGCTAATCTATCCAGCTGTCCGCAGAGCGTAAGTAAAGTACAACAGGGAGTAAGTACGGATGAGAGATGTATAATCATTGGAATTTTTCCTTGTAAATCCATGCAAGGCCTATGTCGCTCTGCCCTTGCTTAACCTGCATGCGTGGTCAACGATGAAAGCTTGTGTAGCGAGAGGGTACATACGGCAGCGCGATACCACTTTGCCGCCTCCTTGCGGTCTTTCTTGGCGCCCTTGCCATTCGCCAGGCAAAAGCCGAGGTCCATCTGCGCGTCCGCGTCTCCCATGCGCGCAGCTACCGCGTAGTAGCTCTGCATCCAACAATCAGCGGATGAACGCGCTGAGGAAGACAACACTCACGACCCCCATCTTCTGGTCCTTTGGGATGCCCCACCCATGGAAGAAGCACTGCCCGACCTCGTAGATCGCCAGCACGAGTTCCGTCTGCACGGCACCCTCGTCGATCTCGCCACCCTTGCGCGCACTCTCGAGGTCGCTCACAGCGCTCTCCGCCGCGCGGCGTAGCCACTTGAAACCCTGCTTCTCGTTCTTCGTGCAGCCCCAGCCGTGTCGCAGAGCAAGCCCCCACATGAGCATGCCCACCCCACACCCGCCGTCGAGGGTCGCTGCCCGCTCGAAGCACACGGCACTCTCAGGGAGGCGGTCCGCCTCGTGGTGCTGGATGCCCAGTTGCAGAAACTCTTGCGCGGTGCGGTTCGCAAACGTGCCCGAAGGCGAAGGCGAGGCGAGCCCCGCCGGAGTAGGAACAGAGCTAGCGAACTCGACGCGCTTTGGCTGGGAGTGTGCGGCGGGAGTAGACGGTGAGAATTGCTTGTCAGTGGTGGGAGAGGGTGTGGCGCTGTCGAGCTGATAGAATGAGTATGCGGAATACAGGCTCACTGGAGACCCGGATCGCAACGACGGCGGCCGCCTCAAAAGTTGAACGGGTTCAGAGCTTCCGCCGGGGGTGGTCGGCGGTCGTGAGGGCTCAGGACTGCGTGACTGAGGGTATTGGTTGGACTGAGGGTACTGGTTGGACTGAGGGTACTGGGAGGACTGAGAGTACTGGGAGGACTGAGGGTACTGGGAGTGAGAAGGGCTTCTCGATACTTGACTGTAGATTGACGACGTAGAACTGTCCGGCCGCTGCATGTTTGGACGCTGCGTTTGCAACGATGGAGCTGAAGGGAACCCGTAATGCTGTGGCTGAACATCCGGTGTATTAGGTGCGGTGCGCCGACTAGCATTGCGCTCGAGAACGCGCTGCTTTTGCTCGTTCTCCCACGAGTCGGGCACCTCGACGGCGGATCGCGCCGGCCGCGAAAAATTGGCCGTCGTCGGACGGACGATGGCCGTCTTTCCGGCACGAGTGGTAGCATAGCCCATCTGCTCGGACACGGGCTCGGAGACCATGACGCTGGGGATACCTGACCATTCGCCGTCGGCCTCGACGTCGATGCCGGGGCGGATAGTGTGCTGATCACTGCTCGACTGCCATGAATCGCGAAGAGCGGGCGACGAGGTGTCAGTCTCAGGACTGCTAACGTCATAGTCGCCGTATTCCAGCTGCTGGACCGAGTCCCGCGAGTCGCCTAGATCCAGATACGAGCTATTGTCGTTGGTCCGCCATGTCGCCGTTGATTGGCGGTTGAAATGACTGTGCAACAAGGGGGACGACGGAGCAGCATGGTGGACCTGGTAGGGCTCTCTCTGGGTGGTGAGCTGGGGAAGATCCTGTGGCGACCGACGCTCATCTCGAGCCGCAGCATGGTAGTTATTGGGTTTTCTTGAAGAAGTCTTGCGAACGAGAGTGTCGAGGGGGGATGAGTGCTGGAATTGGAATTGCTGCTGGGCGGTAGGGGAATATGGGGCAGCAGCACCGGGAGGTAATGAAGCAGCCATCATGGCAGTAGGAGAGAGCCAAAGATGGTTTCGCTTATATTTGGTCAATCTCTGATTCCATCCACACTTTGGCCCAACTTTGGCCCCTATGCCACAGGCCAACACAAGACTTCGTGCTCAGCTGGAAGCAGGGTCGTTGATATTCCTCTCGCAGACTCCGCCGCCACAAGCCGCCGCCGCTCGAATATTTTAACCTGCCCCGGTCCGACCGTCGCTGTCCGTCGTCGCGGCTTTTCTATATTCGTCCAATGCGTCAGGATCGCCGGG